TGCCTCCCACCCACAGGGGAGCTCTCAGGCTGTTGTGTGGGGAGCCCACCCAGCTCACCGCTGCCGCCCTCCCCCCAGCTCACCACTGATGCCCACCCAGCTCACCGCTGCCTCCCACCACCCACTGCGTGCCCTTGGGAGGATAATGCTCAAACGGTTTGCTCAGACTTGGGGACCTGGTAGGTATTTTCTGGGAAGTTAAGGAGTGAGCGAGCCTATCACTACTTTTAAGAAGCTCTCCTTTTTTGGTCATAGCAGTAAAGGGAAGGTACAAAGACATACCTTTTCCAGCTACCTATCTGGGTGAGGCTGGACTGTATCCACACACCTCAACCGTGGCAATAGATTGTAAAACACAGGATGCAGATGAGGGTAAGAGAATCAAACTGTAGGAATCTATTATTTTTCAAGTACCAGTCCTCTAGCTTTTGCTGTTAAGTTTTTAATTTTTCAATTGTTGAGAGAGAGTCTCGGGTCTGGAGAAATGGCTTAGTTGAGACTGCTCTTCCAGAGGTTCTGAGTTCAATTCCCGGCAACCACATGGTGGCTCACAACTGTCTACAATGGGATCTGATGCCCTCTTCTGTCATTCAGGCATCCATGTAAAGTAGAGCAGTCATACGTATAAATAAATACATCTTTAACAAAGACAGAGGGTCTTACATATGCTCAGCTGGCCTTGAACTCCTGAATTTCCTGCTTCACCCTGCCAAATGCTGGGATTACAGGCACGTACCACCACATCAAGCTTATGGTGTTGGGGACTGAAGGCAGGCTTTCACACATTCTAGGCAAGCGGTCTACCATCCTCATCCCGATTTTTACTTTGAACTGTGAACCGTATAGGCTTAACACGAGACATAGTGGCAAATGGCCTATCATCTAAGTACTCAGGAAGTGAACACAGGAGGATCAGAAATTCAAAGTCATCCTCAGCTACATAGTGAGCCAGCCTGGACAACATGAAACCCTGTGTCAAAAAAAAAAAAAGTTTATTATTGTTCTTTGCAATGAATTAGTATTTTTAAAATTTGAACCGAAATTTATTTTATTTTCTTTGGATTTTCTTGAGACAGGGTTTCTCTATGTAGCTTTGGAATCTGTCTTGGAACTCACTCTGTAGACCATGCTGGCCTCAAACTCAGAGAGATCTGCCTGCCTCTGCCTCACAAGTGCTGGGATTAAAGGCCACCACCACCTGGCTCAATTAAAATTTCTAATGACAACAGAATTGGTTGGTTGTTTTGGGGATTTTTTTTGGGGGGGGGGGTAGGGGTTAAGACAGGGTTTCTCTGTGTAACAGTCCTAGCTGTCCTGGAACTAGCTCTTGTAGACCAGGCTGGCCTTGAACTTACAGAGATCCACCTGCTTCTGCCTCCGGAGTGCTGAGATTAAAGGCGTGGACTACCACCACCTGGCTGGTTGTTTTTTAAGATAGGGTCTCTGTACATAGCCGAGGTGTGCCTAAAGACCCTCTTTCCTAAGTGATGGGTTACAGTATACATGGCTTTCAGTATTCAAGTGCTATGCCAGTACACATGGCTGGCTGATATTGTAACTGTTAAAAGATAATCAAGGACTGGAGAGAGGGCTCGGTAGTTAACAGCACTAGCTGTGCTTCCTAAGGTCCTGCGTTCAATTCGCAGCACTCACACAGTGGCTCACAACCTCCTATAAGGGGACTTGATGTCTTCTTCTAGCATACATAAAACACACAAAAGTAGCCGGGCGGTGGTGGCGCACGCCTTTAATCCCAGCACTCGGGAGGCAGAGGCAGGCGGATCTCTGTGAGTTCGAGGCCAGCCTGGGCTATAAGAGCTAGTTCCAGGACAGGCACCAAAAAACTACAGAGAAACCCTGTCTCAAAAAAAAGAAAAAAGAAAAAAAAAAACACAAAAAAACAAAAACACATAAGTAAATAATTTTTTAAAAAAGGATATAATCAACGTAAACCAAAACTGAGGGCCTCAATATTTCCTAGAGTGTAAAGTAGTTCTATAACTGAGCAGCCTAAGACCTGCTGGCTTAAGCGTTCCTTGGTTAGTCACTTTGACAAATACCCCACAGAAACCATTCAAAAGAAGGAAAGACTGACTCTGGCTCGTGGTTTTAAAGGCTTCAGTATGGTCACGTGCCTCTGCTGCTCCTGTGCCTGCGATGAGGCAGAACATAAACAGAGGACACAGAGTACAGCGCAAAAGCTTACCTCAAGACAGACAGGAAGCCGGAAGGAATAAGAGGAGGGGTCGAGGCCAAGGTATAGCCATTCAAGGACACGCCCCAACCAGGTCCCAACTACATGGTTCCATCATTCCCCATTTTCAATGTATTACACCACTGGTTAGGTCAGAGACCTCAGGAGCTAACTGATCTCCTATGGCAGTGGGTTCGTAACCTGTGGGTGTAATGACTCTTTCATAGGGGTCACCTAAGACCGTATGCATATCAGATATTTACATTACAATTCAAAACAGGTACAAAATTAGTTATAAAACTGCAATAAAAATAATTTTATGATTGAGGGGTCACCACAACATGAGGAATTGTATTAAGGGGTTGCAGCATTAGGACGGGTGAGAACCACTGTATGGAAAAGCCCTCACAAACATACCCAGGGGTGTGCCTCACTAATTTCCAGGTATCTCTCAATCCAGGGTGACAGCCAATATTGATCATCACAGGCAGTTAAGTATAGCAGAAACACATGTCCTTTCAATAAGAGACAGGGCAAAGTATAGCATATTCATAAAGTGAGTGATTATACAGATGGTATAATCAAGCTATATCTCTATATATATCAGTTTAGATAGCTCTCACAAACTTTGAGGGCCTATACTGATGGCCTGCCAGAGGCCTATTGCTGCCCTTATTCTGGAAGGACACCTGCTCTCTGTGTGAGCTTCCTCCCTATGAACAGTGCCAGGGTCAGACACTGGCAGAGTACCTGGGATACAAAACAAAGAACCAATGCAAGCTACCACATGGGTGAACCTCAAAAAAAAAAAAAAAAAAGTTTTAGAAAAGAAACCAGACCCAGAACACCACACCACATATTGTATAACTATTTATATAAGATATCCCCCCACCCAAAATATTTGTGTGTGTGTGTGTGTGTGTGTGTGTGTGTGTGTGTGTCTGCAGAAACAAATCAGTAGTTCCCCGGGACAGGAAGAGAAGATCTCAAATACCAAGTTGGAGATCTCCTTGGAAGGTAACAGAAATGTTCTAAGCTGGCCACCATGGTGATGACTGCACAATTGGCAAGAAATAACTTAATTTCTGTAAATATAGTAAAAATTACTCAATTGTACAACACATTTAACTCTCTTCTCTTTTCGTGTGTGGCGTGAGCGACACGTAGGTGCGCCAGGCTGACGTAGAGAATCCTTTTTGATCTTCCGTGCTCTTCACGGAGGCGGGAGAGTTTTGCTAGCTGGCTTGCTCATCCCTGTCTCCATCTAACCAAGCTGGAATCACAGCCCAGCTGTCACCCTCGCACTGGCTGATGTTTACATGAGTTCTGGGGATCTGAACCCTAGTCCTCACACTTCCACGGCAAGCACTTTAACCAGCGAGCCATCTCCCCAGGCCAGAACTGTAGAATACACTTTAAAACGGGTGTCCTGGGATCAACAACATGGCTCAGAGCTAAAGATGCCTCACGTCTGATTAGATCTCCTGATCTCAACAAGGAGTTGAGAACAGACTCTGCCATGTTAACCTGACTGCTACTTGCACACTGTGGCAAACACACCCCACAAATAATTAATTAAATGTAATTTTCAAGATATTAAAAAGGGCCAACCACGGTAGCATATGCCTTTAATCCCAGCCCTGGGGAAGCAGAGGTAGGTGGATCTCTGAGAGTTTGGGGCCACCCTGGTCTACATAGCAAACTCTAGGCCAACTCAAAAAAAAAAAAAAAAAAAAAAAAGAACTCCTCAAAGGAAAAAAAACAAAACAAAAACCCCGAAACACACACATACACCACAACATTAAAATGGGTGGTAACACATTAGAGATTACGAAATTACAAAACAATAGAATTTAACAAAATAAAAGGACAGAAGCTGCAAAAATGGTCAAAATGTCAACACTGTTTTCAGAATCAACATTTCGGGACCCTTAGAGCAGCTCTCAGAGGGTCCAGGTCAATACTCTGGCTTCCCTGTGCTTAATGACTTTTCTCCCCTCTCTGCATTCAGACAGAAGAAATTATGCCTGAATCTTGGGGGAACCTCCTTCAGAAAGGCTGAAAACTTTACCAAAAGAATACATACCACCCGTTCTAAGGTTCCATTTTTAAAAATTTTTTTTTCAAAGATGGGTTTTGTGGTGGAATACTTTTCTAGGAGGCTCAAAACACTGGGTTCTATTTCCAGCACCATCAAAAAACAAAAATAAAGAAGTCAGAAGTTCTGAAGCCAGGCGATACGTTTTTATTAAAATGTTACACTTTAAAAGACAACGGATAACAATTCTGTTTCAAGCAGTTTCCCCCCCCCCCCGCCTCCGCTCAGAACGAAACGGTTCTCCAGACAGGATCAGAAATTCTCAAGAGTCTTTTTTCTTGAAAAGATATTAAAACACTCGATGACAAGGTGGAAGGTGCCCTTGAGTCAGGAGGACACTTGAGGTAGTTCGGGGATTCTCCGGGGTCTTTGAAGCGTTTGTGTGCACAGGTATTCAGGACCAAACGCCCCAAATGCCTCCCTCGCATCTAGTCTTCCCCCAGATTGAAGCCCTTCGAGCATCATCTGTAACACCCGCTGCGTAACTCCGGACGGTTCGCAACACCCCTGCGGCGCAGCTTGCAGCCTGCACAGGCTGGCTGGGGATGGGAATGGGGATGGGGAGGCCTGCGCCTCGCACCTGCCTCCCACTCCCCGTTCCGCGATCCCGGACACAGAGTGCTTGCCTCTCCCGGATCCCCGCCCCTTCCCGAGGATGCGCGTGGCTCCGGCCTCGTCCACGCATTCCCCAGCGCAGCCCTCAGCCCGCTCACCCGAACACGTGCTCCGAGCTCCAGATCTTCATCGCCGCAGCCGCAGGCCCTAGGCGCGGGCTCGGCGCTCTGCGGGATGCTGCGCGACGCCGCGAGGGCGGGGCGCCTGCTGGACCGCCTCTTCCATCACGTGGCCCGGGCTGCAGCGGCTAAAAATAGGGACGTGGGAGGCGGGTGGTACCCAGAGCGACGCTGCGGCAAGGGCTTGCAAATGGCAGCGCCAGGCTCTTTGAAGCAGTCCAAATTGTTCCTCTGCCCTTTCCAACCACACGGGAATGTTGTGGACGAAGCAGACTGCCAATTTAAAATAAATAGTCTGGGTATTGAATAAGCTTGAAACCCCAGTGATTGGAAGCGTCACAGGCAGCCCAGTAGAGAGACTACAATGACAGGTCCCTTGCCCCTAGGAAGTAGAAGTAGTGGGTTCTGCGAATGCTTTCGGGATAAGCTTTATGTGGTGCCCCTGCAAAAGACTTGAGGGCACAGGCAGACTTCGTCTTAGAGTTACCAGTTACTGGAGCGCTGCTCTAGTGGAGCTAATCGCCTTTATGCTGGTGGACACAAAACAGTTCTCGCCTCAGAGGGAGTAAAGTAGTTTGTTTTTGAGCCAAATATGAGTGATCATGATCCAGGAACAAGGCCTGAGGTTGCCCTGAAGACATGTCCCACCGAGAATGTGGTTACACAAAACTATTAGTTACAGAACAAAGAAAGTCACAAATCATGCCCTTTACCAAGAAACCACAGCGATCAGAGCAAGTTGGGAGCTCAGCTATAGGCCTTAGATGATAGCATTCTTCGCATTTGGTTGGTGAAAAGTCAGTGGTCTGCTATGGAGTGTACTGTAAAGGTTTTGATAGGCGAAGCTATTTGATCAGACACGTGGGTGGGCGGTCTTCAGAAGGGCTGTATATAAAGGGCTGTATATAGGGTTGCTGGATGGGTATGGCAGCCCACATATGATCTAAGCTTACTGGAGGTAGACATAGAATCTAGCGAGCAAGGTGGCTAGCCAGACTAACAACAAGCTACAGTTTAGCAAGAGATTCCATACACATACACACATACATAAGTATCTTCACACACTTGCCCACAAACATGTGCCCACACACATGCAGCTATGAGCATGAACAGCACGTACACACACAAACAAAAAAGAAAGATAAAAAGGGACTAAAGCTAGCACAAGATAATTTGGACTCTAATCCAGTTTGAGACAGGCCTCAAACTCACTGAGATCCACCAACCTGGGCTCCTGAGCGCTAGGATTAAAGGTGCATGCCACCACCGCCCGGCCACATTCATTTCCTGAGTTCTCAGGTTATCCCATCTTACAGGAAGAGCTAAGGCCTGCTTGAACCTGACCCACATGCTCTGTACCAAATTACATCTTAGTAAGGACAGCTTCAGTGTAATCTTCCCACTTTGCAACCACCAAGACCAGCAACTAGATCTGATGGGAAAGGGAACCGGAGGGTCCATCTCTTGTATTTTGTTTTTGTTTTGAGACACAGTCTTGCTGTTTAATGCTGGTCGGTCTGGAAATCTCTTTGCAGACCTCTGTGGCCTGAAACTTGCGGCAATTTTCCTGCTTCTGCTTCCCAAGTGCTGGGATGACAGGAGCCAAGTCCCACGTGGGCTCTAGCTTAACTTTAACTGCTCATATATCCCACAGTTCATGCAAGGGGTTCTCGAAGCACCTGTTCAGCCAAGATCACCCAGCCCACCCAGGGCTACTCAGCCCTGTGTCTTTCTTCACTGACCCTCTCTATTGCGCTTAAACGGCTGCACGGTCTCCTGATAGCTCACTCACCTTCCCGTTTCCTTTGTGCATCCCCCTCTTCTTCCTCTGAACCCTCCCTGGGAACACATCCATTGACTCCCAAGCCTGCATCTCTGTGGTGGCTAGTTTTATGTCAATTTGACACAAGGTAGAATCACTGGAGAGGAGGAAGCCTCAGTTGTGAAGCTCCTCCATAAGATGGGGCTGTAGGCAAGCCTGTAAGGACATTTTCTTAATGAGTGATTGATGGGGGAGGGCCCAGCCTACTGTGGGTGGAGCCATCCCTGGGCTGGTGGTCCTGGCTTCTAAAAGAAAGCAGACTTAGCAGGCCATGTGAGCAAGCCAGTAAGCAGCTCCCCTCCATGGCCTCTGCATCAGCTCCTGCCTCCAGGTTCCTGCCCTGTTTGAGTTCCTGTTCTGACTTCCTTCAGTGATGACCAGTAAGCATAAGCTGCATAAATCCTCTCCTCCCCAGTTGCTTCTGGTCATAGTGTTTCATCACAGCAATAGTAACCCTGGCTAGGACAATCTCCATGTCACATTTCCACCAAGCTTTTGTCTCACTCCAGCGGCCTGGATGCTTATAACCTCCCAACAGGCTCCAAGCACCATATTCCTTGGGCCCATTTCTCCTCAGTGATGCTGTTGGGACCCAGAATATCCAGGGTCTCCAAGCTAGAGACATGTTGTCGGTCTTAAAGCCAGTCAGTCATGACCTTTTGGGATTTACCTCTTGCACAGGATGCTAACCCACTCACTCCTCCATCCCCATCTTAGAGGAGTCAGCAAGTCTGGGGCCAGTGTTGGCCCCTCTTCGTGAACGGCTTTCCTCTAAGCCTTAGGGCCTTTACCCAAGAAAGGAGCAGGCTGGCAGCAGCCACGCTCAAGGGCAGGTGAGAATGGAATGAAGCCACAGAACCGGCTTTCTGCAGGTGACCTGCCACCTGTCACTGCCCTGCCTCCAGACTGACTGCACCCTAGTACTGTCCACTTCCTCCTCCTGACCGTCTCTCAGTCTCCTATCAGCCTGCCTGAATAAATGGTGCCGCCTCGTACCAGATAGCTGTGACTTGTCCTTGAGAACCTGTCTTCACGCCTCCGTAGGGAAGCCCTGCAGTCCTCAGCACTGCCTTTGGGTGCCCCTCCCCACTCCCAGTGCTCAGAGCCGGTCTGCACCTCTGGCCTTAAATCACCAAGCTCTGTGGCTACTGGATTTAATAGTCAGTCTCTCCTACCAGACTCAGGCTGACTTGGGATCAGTTTCCAAGCCCACTCACAGGCCTCTTGAGTGGGCTTTTCTGGGGCAAGATTCAAAAATTATACTTTTGCCAGGCAGTGATGGTGAACAGCTTTAATTCCAATACTTGGGAGACAGAGGAGGGCAGAACTCTGTGAGTTCAAGGCCAACCTGGTTTACAAAGCGAGTTCCAGGACAGCCAAAGAAATCCTATCTCAAAAAAAGAAGGAAGGAAGGAAGGAAGGAAGGAAGGAAGGAAGAAAGAAAAGGGGGCTTGTAAGATGGCTCAGCAGTTAAGAGCACTGACTGCTCTTCCCAGCACCCACATGGCAGCTCACAGCCATCTATAATTACAATTCCAGGGGATCTGGAACCTTCATACCAATGCACATCAAATAGAGTTTAAAAAATTAAAAAAAAAGAGAAAAGAAAAAGAAAATATGTATTCATTTTTTTATGAGCAGCCTGAGCCATTAAAATGCTGGCTAAAGTTTGAAAAGTGGGGCTGAATCTCTTTGAACCGTCCAAGGACAGGATCTGAACCCATTTGCTGTGCACACATGACCTGACACAGTCTCTGGCAAACAGAAGGTACTTGCCAGGTGCTTGTTCAGTGACTCAAGGATCATTCCTAGGCAGTGATAAGACAAAGAATGCCCTGGCCCTGGGTGGCAGGCACACCACCCAGGATAACTCCCAGCCGGCAACCAGTCTAGTGCTTCTTGGCCTGTTCTTCAACTGCTGACCACCTGGGGGAACCTACAGGCTTGCCCAGCAGAGGTCCTACTTTTTCGCTGTTTGAGACAGATTCGTGCTATGTAACGCAGGTACACAGTCCTGATCCTTCTGCCTCAGCTTCCCAGTGCTGGAATTATAGGTCTATATTAGCACAGCCAGTAGGGGTGTGTGTGTGTGTGTGTGTGTGTGTGTGTGTGTGTGTGTGTGTAGTGTCTGTCTGTATGTGTGTCTGTCTGTGTATGTGTTGGAGATTAAACCCAGGTATCAAGTTTGTGTTCTAATCTTTTAAACATCTATTTTTGGTCCAGGCATGGTGGCACAAGGCTTTCTCTTTCTTAGCAGGGTTTCAGTGAAACCTAGGCTAACATCAAGCTCAATATATAGCAGAGGCTGGTCTTGAACTCCTGATCTTCCTGCCTCCACCTCCCAAGTGCTGGGATTATAGGCTTGAGCCACCATAACTCAAATATTTCTTTTCCTTCCTTCCTTCTTTTTTAAATAAAAGACCCTGCTGCCAAATAATATTTGAGAGTTGCCATAACTGAGTAGGTGTCTTGTTTTGTTTTTAACTTAGGGAGAAAAACCAATCTCCTAGCAGGGGAAGAATCTTAAAAAAAAAAAAAAAATTGGAGCTGCTCCTTGCCCACTTCCCATGGATATTTGTTTCACTCATTACCCCAGAACTGCAGGAAGAAGCAGGCACCGATGATTACCAATTTATTAACACAACCACAGTAAGGACAGTTTATAGAGACTCGCTGGCCTGTTGTGTTATCAGAGCAAACAGCAAAGGGGACACTGGCCGTTCCTGACCACCAACTCGGTCTGCTGAGCTCTTCCTGACAGAATACCCTGGGAGTGGCTAGGAATGTAGCCCGCTGGGTTCAAATGCCAACACTGAAAAATTATTGGAGGGGCTAGAGAAAACACACAGTGATTAAGAGCACTGGCTGCTCCTTAGAGACCTGGGTTCGGTTCCCAGCACCCCCATGGCGGCTAACAATTGTCTGTAATTCCAGGCCCAGGACATCTGATGCCCTCTTCTGGTCTCCACAGGCACTGCATGTGGCATAATACATACATTTAAGCAAAATACTCATAGGATAAACAAATAAATCTAAAAGAAATTACTAGAATCCAAATATATTCGAGTCTGTCTTGAGCCTTATTTAGCCCAGATGCAATCATGTAATCCTTAGGTTCCTGTGGTGTTCTCTTCCCAAGCCCCACTCAGAATCTCTGAGTCTTGCTAACACACACCTTAAGGTTTTCCTCCTTATCTCTGCTGTGCATGTTGATTCGATACAGTCGAGCATACATCGAGGTGGCTGTCATC